TGGAATAGAAAACGTCGGCCATTTTGTTCGCACGAGGGGAGTCAGTGGGACTTGGTAGTCGAGTGTCTGGAACTAAAATCGGACACTCGACCTCCCAAACCACCGCTGAAACTACTGAACGCCTGCTTCCTTTAGTTACTGAACAGCCAGGAGAGCGCCATTCGGTAGCTTTGTGCGAACGGACAAGGGGAGCAATCGCTCCTATGAGCCAGGAGGATCCATTCGGGACTTTGTTAGTTTTTTACCTTTTTCTGAATTGACCGACTCCACACGCTGAATTCGTGGAACTGTTTTGGGCAAGAGCCTCATGTGTGGTCCGTAAAATATGACTTCCATACTTTTTAAGAACCCCTGAACCGATCTGGGTGAAATTTGGATATGTTGGTCTCCCAGATCGGGGCTATCAGGGGATATGTAATTTGTGGGGATACCTTGTGGGGAAAGGGGTGTTCTAAGTTTTGGGGAAATTGTGTGCTCTCTGCCTGGAGATAATTGGTTTATTTCTTAACTTATCTCAATATCTCCCAGGCAGTAAATTACTGTAAATCTGTATGTTGATTGGCTGTTGTCTGTTTGCTGTGGGAGGTCCTCTTGCAGGAGGATTTCTCATAAAAGCCCGTGTGTTTTCAATAAACTTCATTCCTGTTACACCCTTCATGAAGTCTAGGCTCATGTTTGGGGGATATTCTATTTGCTGGGAAGACTCATCTTGGAACTGCATTCATCTATCCTATTCCTCTACTCCCTGCTGCAGCTATAATCACTTGCTCAGCTGTTGGGAAAAGGAACAGATGACCGTAGCACCATAACCACTGCAGGTCTTAACAAGCTTGACTGGGTTGGAATTTTCAGGGGATTGACAGTGCCGCTTTAACTTGACATATTGCTACTGTGTGAGTGTTACTGGGGGCATACTGACATTACTGCTGTGTGAGTGTTACTGGGGGCATACTTATATATTGCTACTGTGTGAGTGTTACTGGGGGCATACTGACATTACTGCTGTGTGAGTGTTACTGGGGGCATACTTATATATTGCTACTGTGTGAGTGTTACTGGGGGCATACTGACATATTGCTGTGTGAGTGTTACTGGGGGCATACCGACATATTGCTACTGTGTGTTACTGGGGGCATACTGACATACTACTGTGCGAGTGTTACCAGGGGCATATTACTACTGTGTGAGTGTTACCGGGGGCATATTGCTGCTGTGTGAGTGTTACTGGGAGCATATTACTACTGTGTGAGTGTTACTGGGGACATACTGACATATTACTACTGTGTGAGTGTTACTGGGGGCATATTACTACTGTGTGTTACTGGGGGCATATTACTACTGTGTGAGTGTTACTGGGGGCATACCGACATATTACTGCTGTGTGAGTGTTACTGGGGGCATATTACTACTGTGCGAGTGTTACTGGGGGCATATTACTACTGTGTGAGTGTTTACTGGGGGCATATTACTACTGTGTGAGTGTTACTGGGAGCATATTACTACTGTGTGAGTGTTACTGGGGGCATACCGACATATTACTGCTGTGTGAGTGTTACTGGGGGCATACTGACATATTACTACTGTGTGAGTGTTACTGGGGGCATATTACTACTGTGTGAGTGTTACCGGAGGCATATTACTACTGTGCGAGTGTTACCGGGGGCATATTACTACTGTGTGAGTGTTACCGGGGGCATATTACTACTGTGTGAGTGTTACCGGGGGCATATTACTACTGTGTGAGTGTTACTGGGGGCATATTACTACTGTGTGAGTGTTACTGGGGGCATATTACTACTGTGTGAGTGTTACCAGGGGCATAATACTACTGTGTGAGTGTTACCGGGGGCCTATTACTGCTGTGAGTGTAGAGCAGATGGTTTCTGCTACATAGAGGGGAGTCATGGGGCAAATGGAAAGATGCCTGCAGGCACCAAACACATATACAGACATATCTAACCCGAGCTCTGTTCTGCCCTGCAGTGAGGAAGAGGAGCTGGAAAAGAGACGAGAGATCTCAGCCATCTGTCGACTGCTAGAAATGCTGAAAGAGACAAACACAAAAGCACGGAGAATAAGGAAACACCATGTTACTGTAGGGAACAAACGGGACAGTAAATGCAGTGTGACCGGAAAGTGGGAGGAGTCACCATGCAGTGTGACCGGAAAGTGGGAGGAGTCACCATGCAGTATGACCAGAAAGTGGGAGGAGTCCCCATGCAGTGTGACCAGAAAGTGGGAGGAGTCCCCATGCAGTGTGACCAGAAAGTGGGAGCAGTCACCATGCAGGGTGACCGGAAAGTGGGAGCAGTCACCACGCAGGGTGACCGGAAAGTGGGAGCAGTCACCACGCAGGGTGACCGGAAAGTGGGAGCAGTCACCACGCAGGGTGCCCGGAAAGTGGGAGGAGTCACCACGCAGGGTGCCCGGAAAGTGGGAGGAGTCACCACTCAGTGTGCCTAGAAACTGGGAGGAGTTACAAAAAAGCATGAGTAGAACCGTGGGCAGAGGGTGGCAGGACACAACACAATGTGGGCAGAGGGAGGCAGGAGATATCACGCAGTGTGGGCAGAGGGAGGCAGGATATAACACGCAGTGTGGGCAGAGGGAGGCAGGAGATAACATGCAGTGTGGGCAGAGGGAGGCAGGAGATATCACGCAGTGTGGGCAGAGGGAGGCAGGAGATATCACGCAGTGTGGGAAGAGGGAGGCAGGAGATATCACGCAGTGTGGGCAGAGGGAGGCAGGAGATATCACGCAGTGTGGGTAGAGGGAGGCAGGAGATATCAGGCAGTGTGGGCAGAGGGAGGCAGGAGATATCACGCAGTGTGGGCAGAGGGAGGCAGGAGATATCACGCAGTGTGGGCAGAGGGAGGCAGGAGATATCAGGCAGTGTGGGCAGAGGGAGGCAGGAGATATCACGCAGTGTGGGCAGAGGGAGGCAGGAGATATCACGCAGTGTGGGCAGAGGGAGGCAGGAGATATCACGCAGTGTGGGCAGAGTGTGGCAGGATATATCACGCAGTGTGGGCAGAGAGGCAGGAGATATCACGCAGTGTGGGCAGAGAGGCAGGAGATATCACGCAGTGTGGGCAGAGAGGCAGGAGATATCACGCAGTGTGGGCAGAGGGAGGCAGGAGATATCACGCAGTGTGGGCAGAGGGAGGCAGGAGATATTACGCAGTGTGGGCAGAGGGAGGCAGGAGAAATCACGCAGTGTGGGCAGAGGGAGGCAGGAGATAGAATGCAGAGTGGGTAAAGGGAGGTAGGAGATATCATGCAGTCGGAGTGGAGGTAGGAGATATTATGCAGTGTGGGTAGAGGGAGGTAGGAGATATCATGCAGTGTGGCTATAGGGAGGTAGGAGATATCATGCAGTGTGGCTATAGGGAGGTAGGAGATATCATGCAGTGTGGCTATAGGGAGATAGGGGATATCATGCAGTGTGGCTATAGGGAGGTATGATATCATGCAGTGTGGCTATAGGGAGGTAGGAGATATGCAGTGTGGGTAGAGTGAGGTAGGAGATATGCAGTGTGGCTATAGGGAGGTAGGAGATATGCAGTGTGGCTATAGGGAGGTAGGAGATATGCAGTGTGGGTAGAGGGAGGTAGGAGATATGCAGTGTGGGTAGAGGGAGGTAGGAGATATCATGCAGTGTGGGTAGAGGGAGGTAGGAGATATGCAGTGTGGGTAGACTCAGGTAGGAGATGATATGCTGTATGGGCAGAGGGAGGTAGGAGATAGAATGCAGTGTGGGCAGAGGGTTTGGCAGGCGATATGACGCAGTGTGGGCAGAGGGTTTGGCAGGAGATATGACGCAGTGTGGGCAGAGGGTTTGGCAGGAGATATGACGCAGTGTGGGCAGAGGGTTTGGCAGGAGATATGACGCAGTGTGGGCAGAGGAAGGGAGGAGATATCACAGAGTTTGAGAGCAGTAAGGGAGGGATGAAAATAGACAGAAAGAAATGAGGGGGACCACTTAATCAAGCTCCAAATATAAATGGGTTACAAATGTTATAGTGGAATTGATCACAAAGAAGCACAATGCCAATAAAGACCAATCCTCAAATGAGAGCCTATGGGATACAGCTGCCCAAAGCAAAACTTGTTTTTTATGTCTAAAAGGGCAGCATAAGGTATGGAAGAGAAAGCTCGGAATTAGAGTAATGGCTGCACGTTAAGAATTCTGTTATCAGATGATAAAGTGGTAGCGCTTTGGGCGTGTTCTGCTCAATAAACAGGCGATTCTGCTGTATCAGATTTTGTGTTCATGAGATTTGCTAAGACGGGAAATGGGGTAGCAATGGCTGCCTGGTAAAGAGTCACATGGAAGGAATGGGATGGAGGACTGCAAGTTTAGTGAATATATATATAAGTGTGCCATGTTTGTTCTGAATGCCCAGTGCGCAGACCCATTGTAGCAGAATTCAGAGGGGGACTATGGAGGGCAGTAGCACAGACTTCCAAGGTTTCAGGTTTAGGTAAATTATACTCTCTGGGCAAAAACTTACTTGTCTAGACATGCCACACTTAAACAGGGTTCAGGAGCATTTGGTGGTGTGCGTGCTTGGGCACTCAGAGGGGCATCGCTAGGCTCACTGTCCTGTAAGATGGAGTCAATGAAGGTGGAAGGAGATGGGAAGTTGTCCTCTGGTTCTGGAGGTGTGAGACTCTGCTCGGAGGCCGCGGGACTGTCAGGCGTGAGGGGCTCGTCTTTAATGAGAATCACTGGACTGCATCTAGCGAAAGAAAAATCCAGTTTAAGACTTTTACGCTGGAACCAACTGTATTTCCATGCTGAAAATCTCTGCCGGTTTGAATACCTTCCTTCCAAACTGGGATTCGGTGACACTGACGGGCTGGACTGAGGAAGCTCTGTCACATCGGATATAATGGGACCAGGGGATGTGTCGGTAGCGTACAGACTGGATCCTGTATACCCCGACAGAGAAGCCTAGAATCACAGAATAACATTAGCAGAAACCCAGGGAATGGTTAAACACAATCACACAAGGCAGCAGAGGGTTCCATTAGACAAGGACTGAAAGATGGTATATGAAATCAGAGTTCATCATACAGACAGTAGAACAATTACGAAGGCATGTAGGATGATCTCAAACAGTAAAAAGCAAGCTGTGAGGGCACAAAGCAGAGACTCCATCCAAATCCCACTCACTCACAGGATACGAGGTGGCTCCATGCACAGGTTCCAGCGAGTACTGACGACTGTATTTGGGTAGAGGGTGAGCTGAGCTAGTGTCATTCAGCATGAGCGGGCTGCAGAGGGAGATGGCACATATTAGCTATAGTAAGGGATAAATTCACGTCATATGGGGGTTCATGTCCGACTAATAGTGAACCACTCACAGTGAAACACCAGGGGTATCAAACAGGACTTGTCTGGGGACACGTGGCTATTATTATATCAAACCAAATATTCAGCAACCAATTCACCCTTCAATTATCTTCACATAGAACCCCCAGTGTCATTTAGTATTGCCTACATTATCAGTGCTGTATCATACCATACTCACATTTTTCTTTTTACTCCCAGGATCCGATTTGACTGAACTAAAGAGAGGAGGAACTGGATGAGCTGCGGGGTAAAAAACAAAACAAAACTGTGTAGCCACTTCTTTCAGTCCCTAGCACCAGGTTAACGTTGTGCTGTCCCTTTAAGCGGTCTCCCCAACTTTGTCTATACACTGCTGCCCCGCACCCCCGCCGGACTCTTGCAGGATTCCCTCCGGTGACAAACTGATTTTACCAACACATAAAGAGCAGGAATTGGCCATTATCCTCATATTTGTTACCGATATGGAGCTGCAAAAATGTATGAAAGGTGGGGTCCGTATCGGATGTACGCGCTCATGTTTACCGACTCCCTCCCCCCAGAATCACCTCTCCATCCCACTGTCAGTGCAGGGAGGATCTCCTTACCTTATTTACCACCTTCTGCTGCTGGGAGTGCTTCTGTCGCAGACTCGCCACTTCCCTCCAAAGCGCCTCGTTCTCACTGCACAAGAGAAGAACAGTCTGATACCGAGCATGTAAAGGCCAATGCTATCACATACTCTGCACAGTCTGACAGTATATGGGGCAGTTTATCACAGACTGACAGTACAGAGGACAGTTTATCGCAGACTATGACAGTACAGAGGGCAGTTTATCGCAGACTATGACAGTACAGAGGGCAGTTTATCGCAGACTATGACAGTACAGAGGGCAGTTTATCGCAGACTATGACAGTACAGAGGGCAGTTTATCGCAGACTATGACAGTACAGAGGACAGTTTATCGCAGACTATCGCAGACTATGACAGTACAGAGGGCAGTTTATCGCAGACTATGACAGTACAGAGGGCAGTTTATCGCAGACTATGACAGTACAGAGGGCAGTTTATCGCAGACTATGACAGTACAGAGGGCAGTTTATCGCAGACTATGACAGTACAGAGGGCAGTTTATCGCAGACTATGACAGTACAGAGGGCAGTTTATCGCAGACTATGACAGTACAGAGGACAGTTTATCGCAGACTATGACAGTACAGAGGACAGTTTATCGCAGACTATGACAGTACAGACGGCAGTTGATCGCAGTCTCTGTACCGCAAAAGAGGAGGGAGCTATAGTGCCAGAAAAACAACTTTGTTTTACTTGCACTATAGTTTCCCTTTAAAGAGGAAGTGGTCAGGGGCTTCTCCATGGCAATGCAGGGGAACAATATGATCAGCAGGGGGCAGTTGAGGGGTGTCTCCAGGGCAATGCAGGGGAACAATACGCTCAGCAGGGGGCAGCTGAGGGGCGTCTCCAGGGCAATGCAGGGGAACAATACGCTCAGCAGGGGGCAGCTGAGGGGCGTCTCCAGGGCAATGCAGGGGAACAATACGCTCAGCAGGGGGCAGCTGAGGGGCGTCTCCAGGGCAATGCAGGGGAACAATACGCTCAGCAGGGGGCAGCTGAGGGGCGTCTCCAGGGCAATGCAGGGGAACAATACGCTCAGCAGGGGCAGCTGAGGGGCATCTCCAGGCTCAGCAAGCTGCAGGCAATGAACAAACAAGTGGGCAGCTGTCTCAGCAGGGGGCAGCTGAGGGTTGTCTCCAGGGCAATGCAGGGGAACAATATGCTCAGCAGGGGGCGTCTTCAGGGCAACAGAAAGTAATCGGAAACTGAGCTGCACATCCTAAGAGAGAATGTTAACCGATTTGAATAATAAATATCAGCCACATTTAAACCTTTTTCACTTTTTATTTTTAGTCAGATCTAAAATGAATAAAAGACCTGGCAGTAAAATTAAAATCTTGTTTTCCCTTTTTCCAATTCCCTGTATTTATCTTTTAATAAAAAATTTAGAGATTCCTTCGTACATATATTTACAATTCATGGTATGTTTTGAATAATTGTATATTTTGACGGATATTACTATACAATAGTGAAATAAATCACAATAAAAGACAGTAATATCAAATATTAATTGTAAGTTAAAACGCCCGATTCAGTTCACAGCATTCTGAGAGATCAAGCAGAACAGTGAGACGACCCTGTCATGAAGGGATCACCCCCCTCCCCCCCGGTTTCCTCTAGAGATTAACCCCACCATGACAGGCAATCACCCGAAACGGAGGGTCCCACCAATTGCAGTGACGCAGGCCAGCAGTAGTCCCAAAGGATAAATAACTGTGACAAGAAAAAAGGAAAAGGCCAAAATCTTCTCACATAAGTGAAAAGAAGGCCCCCTGGATATAAGTCGGTATCCTGTGAAAGTAAATGGTCAAATGGCCACAATAAGGATAATTGTAACAAAAAGGTTGTAACTTTATTTACAAGATAACTATATACATAAACATCCTAGCCTTGCACTACAGGTATATCAAGAAATACACATAACTGGCTTCATTATATAAGGTAGATCGATTTTCTATCTCGGGTGGGACAAGACTTATGATGAAGAAGATTCCTAATGGTCAAAATAATCAAGGGCACCAATAATATGGGCCCATCTCCCTACCAATACGGTGTAGCAAGAGATGATGTTACCAGAATGGTGCACTTGAGTATTAAAAGGATATGCATGTATCCAAAACTATGATAAATTTGAAATGAATATCTCAGTATGTCCAAGCAATATTAGGTTATCTAATCATGAAACGACAGAAATAAGTAAGAGAAAGAAGTTAAGTAAGCTTCTCTCCCTTTGAATCTAACTAGATAGGTAATAGGAAATAATAAAAATGGCTAATCAGTTAGCATATTATTTACTTAACCCCTTGAGGACCAAACTTCTGGAATAAAAGGGAATCATGACATGTCACACGTCATGTGTCATTAAGGGGTTAATAAACCAGTAGACATATAGTTAAAAATTTTGGTTGTAGCGGACGAAGGTGCACATACTTCTGCACCGAAACGCGTGTCGGGTCACTTGTGTTTTCTTTTGACAATATGGCATGGTGGGTTACCATTTTCTTTTGGCACTAAGTGTATGTTTGGCTACACCCAAACAGTTAGCTACACTTAGTTAGGGTTCGTCGTGGATAGCTAGAGTAAGAGTTAGCTAGGGTTCATCATGGATAGGTAGAATAAGAGTTATGGTCCGTCATGGATAGCCAGAATAAGAGTTAGCTAGGGTTTGTCATGGATAGTTAGAATAAAAGTTAGCTAGGGTTCGTCATGGATAGCTAGAATAAGAGTTAGCTAGGGTTCGTCATGGATAGTTAGAATAAGAGTTAGCTAGGGTTCATCATGGATAGTTAGAATAAGAGTTAGCTAGGGTTCATCATGGATAGTTAGAATAAGAGTTAGCTAGGGTTCATTGTAGCGGAGGACACTGGGCTGTCCTAAAAAATTCATGTGTTTTGGTGTATTCGTTTGAATTGCAATATTGTATGTATAAAATAGGCTGTATTCGTCTGGTTGTTCGGTAGAATCATGTTAGCAATTATGAGAATGAAACTACCGAACAACCAAACCTCCCCAGTGTGAAGTGTGCCTCCAATTACCAGTTGCAACAATGTTGCGAACGGGTAATTGGCAAGCTGTGCAGTACGTCTTTGTTCTCGGGGTGGCCGCCATTCGGGATACTAATATGAGGCGGCGGCCATTTTAAACCCCCGAACAGCGGTGTTTTGCTGAGACCTCCATACGCACGGTACATTCGCTAGTTAGAATAAGAGTTAGCTAGGGTTCGTCATGGATAGTTAGAATAAGAGTTAGCTAGGGTTCGTCATGGATAAGTAGGGTTAGAATGAGATCAGAATTAGACACTAGCCACAATGACACAAATAGTGTAACTTGAACCACCAGTGTCTCTGGGAAGCAGGTCAATATTAGGGCATATCTGTAAATATTATATTTTTCTCATTTACCTAAATAATTTATGTGAATAACAGTCAGCATAATTCTCACGTTATCAACTATGAAGAGTTCAATTCAAATTTTATCGAACAAACCTCCTAATGATAACAGTATTTTTTTTCAAACATAAAAAACTTACAATGCACTGTTCCAAATTATTACACACAGTAAATTTCAAAACACTTTATCGGTTGTAAAGAACTGAAAATTGTCATTTGTTGTGTTTGCAGCATATTTACTGAAATCAAAAGCTATTTCAATCAAACTTATAACAACATTTTAACTTTTTAAACATTTTAACAGGTCACGTTACATTTTAACATAGGACCCCTTATTTGATAGCAGCTTCACAAGTCTTGCATCCATTGAACATGTGAGTTTTTGGACAGTTTCTGCTTGAATTTGTTTGCAAGATGTCAGAAAAGCCTCCCAGAGCTGCTGTTTGGATGTAAACTGCCTCCCCACCCTCATAGATCTTTTGCTTGAGGATGCTCCAAAGGTTCTCAATAGGATTGAGGTCAGGGGAGGATGGAGGCCACACCACAACTTTCTCTCCTTTTATCCCCATAGCAGCCACTGATGCAGAGGTATTCTTTGCAGCATGAAATGGTGCATTGTCATGCATGAAGATGATTTTATTACGGAAAGTATAGCTCTTCCATCTGTACCAGGAAAGAAAGTGGTCAGTCAGAAACTCCACATACTTTGCAGAGGTCATCTTTACACCTTCAGGGACCCCAAAGGGGCCGACCAGCTCACTTCCCATGACTCCAGCCCAAAACATGACTCTACCGCCGACTTGCTGACGTCGCAGTCTTGTTGGAACAGGTTGGCCGTCCACCAACCATCCACTACTCCATCCATCTGGACCATCCAGGGTTGCACGGCACTCATCAGTGATCAAGACTGTTTGAAAATTAGTCTTCATGTATTTTTCTGCCCAATGCAGCCGTTTCTGCTTGTGAGCATTGGTTAGTGGTGGCTGAATAGAAGGTTTATGCACAACTGCAAGATTTTGGAGGACTCTACACCTTGATGTCCGTGGGACTCCAGAGGCACCAGCAGCCTCAAATATCTGTTTGCTGCTATGTAATGGTATTTTAGCAGCTGCTCTCTTGATCAGATGCATGGATCTGGCAGAAATCTTCCTCAATGTGCCTTTATCTGCACGAACCAGTCTGTGCTCTGAATCAGCCACAAATCTCTCAATAGTGCGATGATCACGCTTAAGTTTTCGTGAAATATCTAATGTTTTCATACCTCGTCCAAGGCATTGAACTATTTCACTCTTTTCGGCAGCAGAGAGATCCTTTTTCTTCCCCATATTGCATGGAAATGGTGCTCTGCTTAATAATGTGGAACACCCTCCTTTAGTAGTTTTTCCTTAAATTGGGCTCACCTGGCAATCTAATTATCACAGGTGTCCGAGATTGTTTTCAGTGATCAAAAGAGCCCTGAGACACAACGCCATCAATGAGTTAAACTGAAAAACAAAATATTTAATCTTTGTGACACTTAAGTAGAATTTGCATAATAATTTTGAACAGGGTGTAGACACTAAACTTTCTCCAAATGAGAAAAAGGTCGATATGAGCGGCAGTGCTGTGCTAAGGGGCAGTAGAAGGATTCCAATCTAGGGTCTTTACAGAAGAGGGACACAGACTTTTAAAAGAAATAAAATGAATTGTGGGTAAACACAAAAGAAAAAAAAGAAAACATAACCATCAGATATGGCATAGGCTGATGACAAAATAGTTAAATGAAAAAGTGTCAAAATGCTCTTAAATATCCTGTGGGTTCTACATTCCATAAGTAGAACATTTTGTTTAGTGGTTTTAGATTCTATGAGTACTATTAACCCCTTAAGGACGGAACCAAATGTACACATTGTGAACAAAACAAAATGTAAACAAAACCTGGCATTTGCGCTACATGTCTGTCCAACCGTAATTCACCTCTTTCATAGTAAATGCACCCACCCTTATTATATATCATTTCATTCAGGGGAAACAGGGCATCCATTTAATATCAAATTTTTAGCTATGAAACATAATTTAATATGAAATAAAATGGGAGAAAATAAGATTTTTTTTTTAATCTTATTAGTTCTACATGACATTTTAACTGTAATACTGTTTGCTTTTACTGCAATAAAATATACATATTTGTATTCAGCGATGTCTCACGTGTAACACAGTACCCCCTATATACAGGTTTTATGGCATTTTGGGAAGTTACAGGGTCAAATATAACACGTTACATTTGAAATTGAAATTCGCCAGATTGGTTACGTTGCCTTTGAGACTGTATAGTAGCCAGGAATGAAATTTACACCCATAATGGCATACCATTTGCAATAGTAGACAACCCAAGGTATTGCAAATGGGGTATGTCCAGTCTTTTTTAGTAGCCATTTGGTCACAAACACTGGCCAAAGTTAGCGTTAGTATTTGTGTGTGAAAAATGCAAAAATCGCCAATTTTGGCCAGTGTTTGTGACTAAGTGGCTACTAAAAAAGACTGGACATACCCGTTTGCAATACCTTGGGTTGTCTACTATTGCAAATGGTATGCCATCATAGGGGTAATTTTCATTCTTGGGCTACCATAGGGTCTCAAAGGCAACATAACCAATCTGTCGAATTTTAATGTGAAAAAAATAAACATAAGCCTTATATTTGACGCTGTAACTTTTGAAAACACCATGAAACCTGTACATGAGGGGTACTGTTGTACTCGGGAGGCTTCGCTGAACACAAATATTTGTGTTTCAAAACAGTAAAAAGTATCGCAGCAATAATATCGTCCGTGTAAGTGCTGTTTGTGCGTGAAAAATGCAAAAAACGTCACTTTTACTGGCGATATCATCGTTGTAATACATTTTACTGTTTTGAAACACTAATATTTGTGTTCAGCGAAGTCTCCCGAGTAGAACAGTACCCCCCCATGTACAGGTTTTATGGTGTCTTGGAAAGTTATAGGGTTAAATATAGTGCTAGCAAATTAAATTCCCTTTACTTTCGGCATGGGTTGTCAGGCAGGTCCTGCTAATTGTAATTAATTAAGATACCTAGTTATGTAAAAATATTACATACATTTTTATGTAGAATTAATATATGTATATATATATATATATACATATATATATATATATATACACACACATATATGTATATATAGAGGAAAATTTATCCATACTTACCTTATTTTTCTTTTCCTGGTCATAGGCCATGGCAGCACAACAATGGGTTAGCTCCTCCCTATCCCTAATTAGACAGGAACTAATTTAAATTAAGGGTATAAATACCCCCTCCCACCATCTCCTCCCTCAGTCTTGTTTACAGCAATATCCCAGGGCGGGAGCTTTGTGCTGCCATGGCCTATGACCAGGAAAAGAAAATTACGGTAAGTATGGATAAATTTTCCTCTTTCCTGGCCATATCCATGGCAGCACAACAATGGGTAATACCCAAGCAATAACCAAGGGAGGAAATAAAGAAAAACAGAGACTCAAAACTTCAGAAATGCCAGTGTATTAAAAAACCCACACGAGAAATAATAGACAGAAAATACCCTATGTAGTTGGATG